GCATCAGCGAAGGCACAGCTGTGTGGGAGTGAAGGCCAGTTGTGGGGAATGGCAATGGCCTGGTGTGACAGCAGGGGTGTTAGGGAGGCTGGGCTGGTGGCAGGGGAATTTGCAAAGTACTTAAAGATTAGTATGCAGGAGGCCTTGAATGCCATGCAGAGGAAAACAGATTTTAAAAGATTTTATTTATTTACTTTTAGAGAGGGAAGGGAGGGAGAAAGAGAGAGAAACATCAATGTGCGGTTGCTGGGGGTCATGGCTTGCAACCCAGACATGTACCCTGACTGGGAATCGAACCTGTGACACTTTGGTTCACAGCCCGCGCTCAATCCACTGAGCTACGCCAGCCAGGGCTGGGAAACAGATTTTATATCGCAGGCAGTAAGAAGCCTTCCAAGGCATTGGAGCAAGTCAAAATATAAGTCAATACATGTTTTGAAAAATCACACTGGTGGCAGTGGACAGATAGATCAACAGAGGAGGTGATGGGTGGCTGTTTCCTTTCTTATTATGGTTTTGATTTCCCTCCTGAAATGAAGTGAAAACATTGACTTAACTAGTCTTCTTTGGCACTGCCATCACACAGGCCTGGACTCAGAATTTGTTTGCTAGATCAGCAGCTGAAACAGAGGCATAGGAGTTGAAATAGTCTGGTGGTGTATTTCTTTTCTGCCACATACTAGATCTATGACTGGTAGGTCCACAGGACTTTCATGATCTTCAGAACCCCTGTTAAAATGTGATTACTGTACAGAGATTAAGTAGGATTTGATGATATAATGACTCAGAAAAAGTATTCTGGCTCTCTTCTCCCTTTGTTCAAGGATGCTGAAGGGAAAGAAGGCTAAGGGGAAGAAGGTGGTGCTGGCCCTTGCTGTCATAAAGAGGCAGGAGGCCAAGAAAGTGGTATATCCTCTGTCTGAGAAAAAAAACACAAGAATTTTGGCATTGGATAGAACATTCATCCCAAAAGAGACCTCACCTGCTTTGTCAAATGGCCCCACTATATATGGCTGCAGTGGCCAAGGGCTATGTCTATAAGTGTCTGAAAGTGCCTCTTGCCACTAACCAGTTCATCTGGCCTTGGATGCCAAACAGCTATACAGCTGCTCAAACTGGCCCACAAGTACCAACCAGAGACAAAGCAAGAGAAGAAGAGGAGATAGCTGGCCCCACCTGGGAAAAAAGCTGCTGGCAAAGGGTATGTCCCCACTAAGATGCCACCTGTCCTTCTAGCAGGGGTTAACACTATCACGAGCCTGGTGGAGAACAAGAAGCCCCAGCTAGTAGTGATTGCAAATGATGTGGATCCCATCGAGGTGGTTGTCTTCCTGCCTGCCCTGTGCCAGAAGATGGGTTTCCCTACTGCATCATTAAGGAGAAAGCCAGGCTGGGGTATCCAGTCTACAGAAACAATTGCACCACTGTTGCCTTCACACAGGTTAACTCGGAAGACAAGGGAGTGCTGGCTAAGCTGGTGGAAGCTATCTGGGCCAATTACAACAAGAGAGGTGATGAGATCACTACCATCTCTCCCATCTTTTACCATGGGAGGCAATATCCTGGGTCCAAAGTCATGGCTCACAATGCCAAGCTGCAAAAGGCCAAGGCTAAGGAAATGGCCACCAAACTGGGCTAAGTCTACACTGTTGAGTTTTCTGTACATAAAAGCAATAAAAATTATCCTTCAAAAACAAAGCAAAATAAACAAAAATGATGATACCAGGATGATAAACATGCTATTTTAGTATCTCACCCATTACCAGCTTTGAAGTTAGAGGTAGTAGTTGAGTGGTTTTGAAATCCTTTACCAATGCTTATACCCTACTGTGAATAAATTACAGATTTAATTGAACTATTGAGACTCAATTACTCATACTGTTTTGAATTAAATTAAATCAGCCTCTGGCTCTATTAATACAGTCAGTGCAAATACAGAGCGTAAGCTGCTGAATAGACTTTCATTCAAGGTATTTCCAGGGCTGATTGATTTTGGTTACCTCCACTCATTGTACTTTCTCTAGGCTGTTTACTTATCAAGAAGAGTATATTACAACTTGTGAAAATACAACCAAAGTGTCACAGGTTCAATTCCCAGTTAGGGTACATGCTTAGGTTGCAGGCCATGACCCCCAGCAACCGCACATTGATGTTTCTCTCTCTCTCAATCTCCCTCCCTTCCCTCTCTAAAAATAAATGAATAAAATCTTAAAAAAACTTGTGAAAATATATTTTGTATTACTACTGATAACACACATTTAGAAAATAGGAAACTATAATCTTTTTTATGTTAACAAAAGATGACTACAAAAGAAATTGATGAGAGAATACTGTATGTAACTTTAATCATTTATTTTTCTTTGATTAACAGGATTATTAATTCTTCAAAGAAGTGGCTTGCATTCCATTTTAGTGACCTGAAAAAATAACAGGCATACAGTTATTAATCTTAATGGGTCATTTACTTGTGAACTTGCAAGGTTTTTGCTTTTTAAGTGTCTCAAAAGTACATCTAGTTTAAGAACTGGGAAACTTTCTGCTCAAGGAGACAGTAAATACAAGAAAGAAGACAGAGGTCTTCTTTCAGTGGTAGGTATTAGCTGATTTTTTTTCTAGAAACTAGGACACAGAATGGTCCTCTGGGTCTTAATATAATCTTTAATATACTTTTAATATAGTCTACTTTCCCTTAATTCATCAGGTAATTGACAGACCATCAACTTTGTTTCTGATATGGGAAGATGAAAGGGGCCTCTACTATAAGTGGAACATTCAGCCTCTAGGATTTTTTAATAATGTGACAGTCATAGGCTAGGTTTGAGTTTTTAATACTAGTTAGAAAAGCACATGATTTTCTAAGGAGTAGGCAAAAATCAAGTTTAGATCCTACATCTACAAGTTCATCTATTATAATCTCCACTTTGGTTAAAGTTTTGCCTTCTTTAGCCTTCTGATTCAGTCCCAAAATACACATACGGTGATGATAGTAGATGTTTAAAACTGTTTTGTAAAAGTATTTTAATAAGAAAGTATTTGTTTCTATTACATCACAGGAAAGGAGGGTTTCCAATTGCGATGTTGATAAGATCATGGAAGGACACGTGTGTATCTCTGAGTAGAGATGCTAACAATCTTTATCGGAGAAAAAGGTTGAAACAAATTGTAAATGAGTGTGGCTAAGTGAAAACATTTTGATCTTTTGTTTTCATGGAATGATGCATTGCAATCTGCAGACAAACAAATGTAAAAAATGCATGCCTTGTACTCTGTATACTTACCACCTATTGCATCTGACATTGTACCAGGACTTTCTTGTTTACTGTTCATTGATAGGTGTGGGGCCAGGCAGAGGTAACAGAGGAGGAAAGAAGCAATATCTAAACCATGGGTACCGTCCAGGGGGGAATGGTGGATATGGGCCAAATGGTGGGTATGGGTAAGGAGGCACATAAAACTGCGAAGGCGATTCATTGCTCCCACTGAGCTGCTGGGGAAAAAAAAGAAATTAAAAAGGCTGTTTTACCCTTTGAAAGGAAAGACACAAGATAATCTTTTAACATGTGTCTTCATTTTTAAGTAAAAGGCTTTAGAAACTCTAAAATCATTTACCTTTCTTTTGTTTTGCTTATAAAAAACTAACTTTTCTTTGTGTAATTAAAACTAAGTATATTTAAAAATCAACTAACTTGAGGACTACTGTACTTGAACAACAATAAAAAAGTTAAAGAATAAATAAAAATCAATGAATTGTATCTGCTTTTATTATAGTAGGTGATAAAATAGGTATAATTTTTCTGTTATAATGTAATTTAATAGCATGCATAGTATTTTAAATGCACTATGAAGTGAAAATCTGATGATTTCACAATTTTAAAACTTTTTTTGTTTTTAATTGTTTTCTATGTGTACTAAGAACAGAGATTTGATTAATTTACATCATTTTAGGAAATTTTAGGAAATTGCTTAAAGATAACTATGTTCTTGTACTTTTCTACTCATAGCCAAATTTTCAGATAACTACTTCTATTAACTATAAGGCCAAAGGGAAGGATATGGGTGAGGGGATGTCAAATGTCTCCCTTTGCATTTATACAAGGTCTGTACCCAAACCATGTGTTAGACACAATCTCCTATTCATCTCTTCTCTCTCCCCCCTTTCCCTCTCCCTCTTCTATCTATATCCTTACCAAGTTCTATTTCCTTAACACTACAGTTTTAGCCTCAAAGCTATGCTGCCTTTCAAATGAAAAGATTTCTCTGAGCCCTGACTTGTGTGGCTCAGTTGGTCAGCCATCATCCCGCAAAGTGAAACATTGTTGATCTGATTTTGGGCTAGAGCAAATGCCTGGGTTCTGGGGTGGGGCATGCATGGGAGGCAGCCGATGGATGCTTCTCTCTCCCGTTGATATTTGCCCCTCTTTCTTCACCCTTCCCCCTCTCTCTAACAAATACATATTTTTAAAAAAGATTTTTATGAGTATAAACAAATTCCCAAACAAAACTCCTTCTTTTCAAATTTTCTTTCCTTTTCCAAAAACATTTTTTTTGATGAACTGTTTAATCCTAAATGTTCCATTACTGAATTTACCTCCGGTGGTATTATCAATGCTTGCACACATTTCCTAGTTCTCAGGTTTTAATTATCATTATTTTTACTTTCTCTGGAATAGACTTTGTAGAGTTAAAACAGAGTGGAGGAATTAGAAATTATGAACCTTTATTAAATAAGGCTTGATAATTTTAGGAAAAGATATCATAACTCAATTTATCACAGAATGATACACATTTCAATTCGGGTCCCATTGTTACATGAGGAACTCCCATTATTCCCTTCGTGTAAGCAGAGATCAAATCCCTGAAGTCTACACTGTTGAGTGCTAATAAATAAACTCTCAAGATTTCTCTAGAGTTTGAGAAGTTTGGATAAAGGAGTATCTTTAACCACAGTTACAGACATTTCACATGAAAGCTTTATATGTTAAAAAAGAAATGTAACTTACACTTCGTGGTTCTCTTTCCTGGCCTGGAGTGACCTGAAGTTCAAACAGTGAAATTAATTTAAGTCATGCTGGCGAAGCACACAAACTGAGAGACTTGTACACACTGTATGGAGGAAAGAATTTGACTTCTCACTACCTGATATTTTCTCATAGCATTCATTTCTTTAAAATATCTAGGATTTGAGTGTCCATAATATAATGTAGGAACCATTTTCTGATGAGTCCTAACATGTATTTTAAATGACACTAATTCCACTATATCAAGGCTATGTGGAATTGAACTATGAAGTGAACAATATATCATTTATAATGTTTTCTAGAATATAATATTAAAAGAGCAGGTGTTAGACATGTTTATGAAGTAGAATACAGTGTGTGTGAAGAGAAAAAATTTGGATTCCTGATTAGACTAAAATAATACTGGTTACTCTGGTGTGTAGAACTGGATACTTACCGGGAAACCAACTGTTATTGCCAAGATGGCTGCGATCAGAAGCAGTAGCTTCATCTTACACTGAAACAGCCTGGAAGTCAGCAGAAAGACCAAATGTTAGCATGAATTTAAAAAAATCCAGGTATAGAGTATGTTAAGTTACCAACAGCTCTCTGATGTTGGGCAAATCACTTAACAAATTCAGGAGACAATTTTAGAGAAGACAGCATTCAAGCTGAGCATTTACAATAGGAAGATATTAAAGAATTCACCGGTTATTCAAAGCCAGATTAAGTAAAGAGTAAATGATACCATCACAGACTTCCAGATTAAGTCTTGCAGTGAGGACATAGCATAATCACCAATTACCACATTTTATTTTTTTACTTTTCAAGCTGCACCACCCATAGCAATATATGGATGTATGTCTCTGAAAGATGCATCGCTCTGGAGCATCACCTTTATTCAAGAATTTATAAGAAACTAAGTAGTTCTATATTAAAATCAGCATGATATAGAGTGGAATATAACTACAGCAAAATTTAAAGGTCAAACAGAGGCTACAAATAAAGTGGCAATTGTTCATAGTTTTGAGAGTGTCTGGTATTGCATGTTCCCTTTGTTTCCTGACTTGAGACCCATAAAATAAAAATGATGAGCCTCACTCTGTAACCGTCTCAGTGTGCCACCCAGCCAGCCCTCCAACCCCACTGAGATTTTTGGCCATTCTAAAATACACACTTACTATGTATGGAGATCTTAAGAAATATTTATCCCAAATGATTGTCTAATTACTTAGCTTACAAATTCCCAAGCAACCATTACATGAAAATCTCAATAATTTTTACTTTTGACGGTTTACAGGATATGTGTGTATATATATATATATATATATATATATATACACACACACACACACATATATAAGTTATAATTTACACACATATATAAAATTATATATATGTCTTAGTTTGCAATGATATTTAATATTTTCTCACCTGAAGCTTTCCAGTCAGTTTCTTTTCTAGGATGCTGCTGCAGGTGATGGGGAATGACTGGCCCTGGATTTTACAGCTGTTTTATACACTCTGAAGTGGATGGAGTGAAGGCGGTGGCTTGAAGGCCTCTCCCCTGGGATCAGTTATGACTCAGTTGAATCATCAGCCCTCACATTGTGTTGAAATTGGGGAATAACAGACATTTGCAGTTTCATTGAAACTTTGGTTGAGTGACTACCGACTATATCTATTTGTGGTTTCTTGTGAAATTTTGTGTACCTTGTATATGCAAACCTTATCATTTCACCTAATGATGTTCCTGTTCTTATTTAAATTTTTTCTTTAATTTCCCCAATTAAAATTTATTTTCTAAGTATCCTGTTTTTATCATAATTTATTAGAAAACTTTTTTTTGGTAGTGTAATTTTAAGAAGACAAAGAATCTTCAAAAATGTTAAAGATGGGATGAAAACTCTTTGCATGATTTTGCTTTCAGTTCTTAGGTTTTAGCAAGCAGGGTTAGAGCTTCTAACAGCAATAGACCATAGTTTTGGAGCATAAAAGCATTGTGATTACCTTATAAAATGTTATACTCTTTTTCAATCAAAGCTTTAGTTAACAGAAAGGGTATAACCATCAACTGTAGGACTAAAGCCTACAGACCTCAAAAAATTCAAGAATCACCTTATATATGTGTGTATACTGTTTGTGCTATAGTCAAGTCATAAAACTTGGGATTTTTACTATTTATTTGAGAGCTCTCAAGAATATTGAATCCTTGAGGTCAATTTCTATTTCAGCAGAGTTCATATGATCCAAATAGTAGTAATGTATCAATGTCCCTTCTTTTCCTTTTTCCTTTATCAAGATATCTCAGAAAAATAATAACAAGTTACATTTCTTGAGGACTTGACTTGCTTAAGAGCAAACCTAAACACTTTGTATGTATTGCATTATTTAATCCTTAAAACAATCAACCCTGAGAGTAAAGTGCTATTATCAACATCGCCCCATTTTACAGATTAAAGGACTGAGAAGTAGAGAATGCTCACAACAGGCCTAAGGCATCATAGCTAGTACTCTGGCAGATATGGTATCGAGCACCTACGATTTCATTCTAAAACCCACATTATCCATTAGTCTTTTATATTGGCACTGTAGCAGTTTAGAAAAATCAGTGCAAAGCAGGAGAAACATTAAATTTTCTTTATCTGTAACTGAAAATTCAATCTTATTTCATCGATGTAAAGAAAACTGCTTTGATTAGAAACTTAATTATTAAATTTAGTATCATGTTGTATCAGTTTTCATTTTGACCAATCTAAGAGTAGATTTCCCCAGGACTAGGGAAAATAAGTGTGTGTGAATATGTATTTGTGTGTGTGCATAACATACTCTTCACTTCCTTATCTGACAACCTGTGTTTCAATTTCTTTTACTTATCTGAAATTATATTAAGAGCTGCCACCTAGCCTGTCTTCCACTCCTGCAATTGTTCTAAAAGCTGCCAATTACCTCTTAATTGGAAAAACCATAAATGCTTTTCTGTCTTCATGTTATTGATATTTCTTGGCATTTATTAGTGGTGTCTGCTCCCATCTGGAAGCTTATTTTTCTTTTAGCTTTTGGCTTCTTAAAAGGCTTCTTAAAAGCACTCTCTCTTGTTCTTTTTCAAATTTTCTGATAGCTACCTTAAGTCTTTGCTGATTCTTTTTCCTCAATTCATTGTACATAACCTCTTATCTTTTTAGTTTACTTGGCCTGAATAATAACATCTACATGTACCTTCCTAACCTATGTCTTCAGCTTGAAGTTTTTAGTTTGACATCTTTATCCAACTGCATATTCCATTTAGATCTCTGATAAGTACGACTGAACATTGAACTTTTTATTTTTCACTCCAAAGCTCCTCCTTACTTTTATTTAATCCTTCAGAGGATGGTTGTCAATCACTTATTCGTCCTACTTAGAAATCTGAAGCTCACCCTACACTTTCTTTGCCTCTTCCCTTTGGCATCTAATGCTTATTAAGTTTGCCTTCCTGCATATTCCTAGAATCAGTGTCTTGCATCCTTATTGTTATTTCCTTCATTTATTCCTCATTCTCTTTTGAACTGTAAGAATAGCTTCGTAATTAGGCTCCCTGTCTTTGATATTTTCTCTCCATTTTTCTCATTATCTTCTAAAGTGACTTTCAAGCCTTTTAAAGTGCAACTCATGTTGTAACTGAGTATACATACACATACAACAGAAAGAGGGTTTTTAAAATACATAATAGTTTTATATATTACACTTTTTAAATGCATAAGATTTTTCCAGCTTTATTGAGATTTATTTGACATATACCATTGGGTAGTTTAAGTGTACAATGCAATGGTTTGTTATAAGTATATGTTGTGAAATGATTAGCATAGCGAGGTTGGTTAACACATCCATCACCTCACGTAATTACCTTTTTGTGTATATGTGTTAAGAATGTAAGACCTAACTTTCAGTAACTTTCAAGTATACAATATAATATTGTTAACACTAGTCACAGTGCTGTACAGTAGGTACCCTGAACTTACTCATTTTATCACTGAAAATTTGTACCCTTCCATCACCATCATCCATTTCCCCCACTCCCCAGCCCCTGGCAACAACCAATCTACTCTCCATTTCTATGAGTTTGATTTTTTGATTTTTGATTTTTTAATTCTCACCTGAGGATATGCTCATTGATTTTAGAGAAAGAGGGAACAGAGGGGGAGAGAGAGGGATAGAAGCAGTGATCAGTTGCCTCTGGCACACCATAACCAGGGACCAAACCCACAACCCAGGCATGTTCCTTGACTGGGAATTGAACCCTCAACCCTTTGGTTATGGGATGATATTGAAACCAACTGAGCCACACAGGCCAGGGCAATGAATTTGTTCTTGTTTTTTAGATTTAACATATAAGCAAGAGCATACAATATGTTTTTTGAAAAAAAATGTTTTGCTTTCCTATTCTTTGGTTTCCATTTGTGTTGGCCCACAGATAGTCCTGATTAAGTTAGCAGGTTGCGTAAATGGTTACCCTGTTATTGAAGGTCTCCTTATTATGAGGCAACAGGAATAATGAAGATGTCAGCCATGGATACCCCTAAGTTAAATGAAAGGAAGAGCTCTAGATCTGACAGGTGTGTATTTACATTTGTAGATCTTTATTAGCTGTAAGAAAGCAAGTCAGACTCTCTGAGTCTCAGTTTTCTTATCTTTAAAGTGAAGATAATTATCTCTGAAATTGGGAATTAAATGAAATGAAATGTATAAAAACACTTATCATGGTGTCTGACTTCATAAATGATGGTTTTATCAGCATCAAAGAAGTTTTGAGTACATCAGTCCTCTTTTTGCCATATATCCTTAGGGTTCCTCAAATAATTAGGTTCCTTAGCTAATATAAAGGTATATGACCATACCTGATATAGCTATTGGAACTGAATAGGAGTTTACTTAATATGTTAGTTAAATCTGAATATACATAAAAGATTTTTGAAACCAAGCAGTATCAGAAAAGCAGAGATCATTCTTTCAGGTTACTGATTTAACTTTACCCTCCATTCAAAGAGCCAAGAACTAGCTCATAGGTGTAATTCTGGGTGAATTCAATTATTGTTACTTTCCTCTGTTGATCTTAATTAATGCAGCCAGAATCTAATAAACAAAAATCACCTCTGTGAAGTTTTGAGCACGTCGTTGTCTTTCAAAGCTCAAGGGTCAGCCAAGGAGGAGCAACCCAGATGTTTTGCTCACAAAGAGGTTGTGAGTGGTTTTCAAAAGCTGGACAGGCTATCGTGTGAAAGAGGACTTGAGTTCATATTTGGGGATGCAGATAGCAGTAGTGAAAATTAGTATAGCAAGACATTAAAACTAATCTGTAAGGAAAAGCTTTTTAAAAGTTAAAAACATCTATCTCTGCAGATATTCCGGGAAGGTTGAGTGGCCCAAGGCTGAGGTATAGCTGGGGGGATTTTTGTGCAGTCAATGGATTTTGTTAGATGACCTCTCTGTACCCTTTCAGTTATGACTCTCAGACTGGGTTGTAAACTGGGATTAGACTACCTACAAGAATAAGTTTAGCAATTAGTGGGGTGAGGGGTGGAAAAAGGCCCACAGGCCTATTCTCACAAAAGGATTAGAATTGGTGGTAGGGAAGCGCTCATTTTAAGCCACATATGGGAAGTCTTAGCAGTGGATTAACTGATTCTGGCGTCAATAAGAGAGCAGAAATATCTTGTTCCATATTTTGTGGCTGACAAAGTTTGTAGAAATTCAATAGAACCTCGTTCTTTAGGCATTCTCACTTTTTTTGTGCGTGAATTGAAAACCAGGAGATATGATCTAAACTGTAATAGATTTGCAGACATGTTAATACTAAAGAGGAATTTTGACTTTAAAAAGTTTTTGACATCGTCCCTCTAAGACAGTGGGTACAAATACCCTCATTTCCTTCAAAGCCTGTACAAATGTTATACATTTCACCAGAAGTGACTGTGGTGACTGTGGATCCCTGCAAAGAACTGGGTGCCAGAGTTAAGGGCAGACAGCTGCACACCCACTATAGTGTTCCCTGGAATGGGCCTGGCTCACAATGGCACCCAGTATGTGGTTAATAAATACTTCTTGAGTTAAAAAAAATATGGTCCTCAAAAACTTCTTTGGATATTTCCTGGTGCCCTTTATCAGTTATACCATATCTTAAAACCCTACGGCCAAAAGCTGAGAAGCCCTGTTTGTTAACTCTTTTCATACTTGTGGGACATAATAACTTTTTATAATTTCAGTTATTCCAAATTCTATTAATGATTTGATAGGCTTAATGATTTATATGGCTTAACTGATGGAAATTAGCCATATTTGATATATATTACAAATAGCTTATGTGGCCCATTGCAAAACTCCCCTTTCCCTCTGCAAAATACAGGCAGAGTAACACCTGCTGGAGTGTGGTTGGTAGGGTAATAATATGGGTGTAATAATTTATAATTTTCAGTTGAACATTTCATCTAAAACATCA